AAACTAATTTTTCCTACACTGCTGCTAAAGCATTCAGAGGTATTTTCCACTTAGTAGCTTGAGAATTGAGGCTTCTAGCACATGCCGTACTTAATTCTCTAACTGAATATTGACAAGAGCAGTGATTTGAGAAAGAAAAACAAAGACTGGCATAAATACATTTATGAGATTTTAGATTAAAACGTGAGTCTGATATTTCCAGGAAAAATATAAAGCAGAATTTTTAAATACCACAGCTATACTTGTCAATAGCCCATATTCAGCTCCTCCCGCAGCCTACCAGAAAGGATGAATATGATTTTTGCTCATTACATCTCTGTGGTAGAACAACAGATTTCCAATGCACGGGTTGCTATCTGGATCTTAACACTAACAGCTACAATCTCCGCCATGCAAAGCCAAAGTCAGGCTTCAGAAGGACAGACGCAGCTGGTACCTGGCTGACCAGCCGTGTGAAAATGCAGCACGGCCATGGGCTGGAGTATGCCCCCCAGAAACAAGGTGCAGGGATGCAAAATGCCAGCAAAGGAGAGGTGAGAATTATTCTGAGGTGGGTTTACTTTATAGAATGTCGTTTGGATGCAAGAAGTGAAATAATCCGTGGGGGAAGAAGCCCTTCCCATTCATTTCTCCATCATCCCATCCCAGCGGTTATATTGCACAGAATCACAGAATGGTTTGGGTTGGAAGGGACCCTCGGAGATCATCTGGTCCAACCCCCCTGCCAAGGCAGGGCCACCTAACAGCAGGTTACACAGGAACATGTCCAGATGAGTTTTGAATGTCTCCAGAGGGGGGGACTCCCCAGCCCCGCTGGGCAGCCTGTTCCAGTGCTCTGCCACCCTCAATGTAAACTTCTTCTTCATGTTGAGGTGAAATTTTTGCGGTTTAGTTTATGGCCACTGTTCCTCATTGGGCTTGTCCTCCATACACTGACTTACTGGAGGGAGTTTGTGAACTAGTGTCACCATTTCACAAACCAGCACCCCATGCCGAGATTCCCAGAGACCGAGAAGCAAGAGCTTTGTCCCCAGTGTAGCTGGGGCATACAACCCCCCCTGCAAGAACCGGACATGCTCCTCTGGGCCCAAGGGATGCTGCCCCATGACCTGGGACCGCGTTTTGTACACGGTTCGGCGAGCTCCCGATGGGCACAGCAGGTCTTGGGGTCTGCTCGCTCAAACACAGCGCTCTGTCCTGCGCGGGCCCTCCGGCCCACCCCCGTTTCACAGCCGGCCGTGCGCCCGCGTCCTGCGGGCAGCCTGGTCTCCCGCCACGTGTCGACAGCAGCTCGCGGTGTCCCCTCTGGCTCCGGGGACGTGGTACCGACACGGCCCGGGCCCGCCGCCAGCCGCGTGAGACCGCTCGGGGCCCGCGGGACAGCGGCCGCCGTGCTCCTCGAGCGCCCCCTCGCGCCCCGGCCCGGCACTGCCGCCACAGGGCGGGGGCGAGGAGCGCCGCGCCGACCTCTGTCTCCCGCCCCGCGCCGGCCCCTCAGCGCCAGCCCGGGGCCCGCTGTTAGTGCCGGGCCGCAGGACGGGCCGCTCGGGCGTGCCGGCTGCACCCAGCTTCTCCGGAAGCAACAGCACGGGCCCCACCAGCTTGGGAAGACGTGGAAGGGGTGTGACGGGAGACGTTGTGACCAGCTGTTGTTGCTCGAAAGCGCTCAGGCTCCTAAAACGCCGTGCCGTGCCGGACAGCCTTCGGTGTCTCAGACCTCACTGCCGAGAGCCGCACTGAGGAACTGCTGTCGCTTCAAGCAGGATTCCTGGGTGTTTCATACATCAGCTTGAGCACGCACCTCCAGACCTTACCTCTGCATCTCACCACAGACCTGGGGCAGTACCATTCCCCCCTGCCCACACTGTATCACTTTATTTAACCCACACAGGATTGGGTAGTGCCACGAGAGGTCCCATCCTCAGAGACAAAACCATCCTATATATTATGGTCAGCAGCAGTGCACTCCAACAGGCAAGGTGCTATTACTTGCCAAGCAAGGAAACAAAAAAAAGTGACAAAGCCATTCAGGTAGAGGTGACTTCGTATTTGCTTATTATTTAATTTTACCTCCATAGAAAGCTCGATGTGTAACCTAGCCACCTCCTTCCAGCATCCCCAAAACTCCCCCACACACACACATTTACAAGGGAACCCCAGTCAACAAGCTTCTTTGGGACGGGGACAGTTATACTATGGCACTCCTTCATAGGTCCATGCATCATGCCTGTCCTCAGATGCAGCCACCGGGAGGATGCTGGTATATCTCTCTGCATCCCTGGGAGTGCCCACACTCAGTTTTCTTGACCAGCTGCCATGAGCAGCTCAGCTTGTCTCTTCAGTCAGATTCATCTCCCATCACTGATCTCACTGACTCCAACCTGACTTGAGTGGGTCCTCGGTGCCCGACAGCAGCCTGATGCCAAAGCAGCCTCCAAGAGTGGCAGGGAAGAAAAAGACTTGTTCCAGTGACTACAGTGCCTCTGGGGTTGCCATCACAAGCCAAGATCATATGGGTTAGAGCCTGGCAGCAATTTCATTTCTACAACATAACCTATCACACAAGGAACATGTCATTGATATGCACCGCTTAAAGGGAAAAAAATAATGAAGATAGACAATTACCTTTTTTTTCTATCCATACTTTATTGCAGGTATACATATAATTATTTATATTTTATTTTAACAAGAAATTCCTTTCATGGAAAGGAGAAACTTTTACCATTAAAATAGAGTGATTATACCATGAGTATTTTACAAATATATACAAATATTGGCAGCTAGTTTCTAACATGAGCTAATAAATGCTTACACATTACCCTCTACCAAACTAATCCAAAATGAAAATAGCAAGAGACCTTCTAAATCTAAAGACAAACAAAAAATAGACCTATTACTAAAAGGAACAGGGTTGTGTTGTTGTTTGTTTTGTTTTTTCATATGAATACAAAAACTTGCATAATAGATATTCACAGTGCTTTTAAGATATTCATTCATTATCAGTTGATACACAAAAGTGTCCAGTCTCCCCTTCATACACATCTGTAACTTGCAGTTCTGGAGGAAGCTGCATAAACCACAGAGAGAAGACAGTCAGACCTGGAGAGTTTGCCTTCCCCACCAGCCATGAATAAATACAAGAAACCCTTATGTACATACAAGGCAGTGGATGCTCATGCAAGAGCCAATTACACTGGTTTTGGGCATTGGTATGCTTTACAACCAGTGACAGCAGGATTACAGGTGGATTTCACCAAATCCATTGAGTGCTTAGTAATTGCAACAAGAAACTACCAATCTGCTTTGTGGCAATCACCACTTCAGTAAGGTGGTTAGGCTGAAGCAGGTATGAATGTGATTGTCTTTTGAGACAAGTGTGCACAGATGTGAGCATGTGGTGCACACATGTTTTATGATATTTCTCCAAACAACTATACCCACTGAATTTTGAGCTTCTTTCCTGTTAACAGCCATTGCCACAACCACAAGTAACTGTATGTCTGCATGGTTGGAGAGCAAGTTTGGGGGGTCTGGAGCACCAGTCCTGCTACCTTTCCCTTGGACAGACAGGCACCACTGCTGTAAAAACCATACCTCTAGCTCTGTGATGCTGCAAAACCAAGGCTGCTCCCTGCAGCACAGCCCCGGGCCTCCTGGATCTGGGTTGTGTCTGTCTCCCATGGCTTATGGCTAAACAGAGCCCAGGTAACAAGGAGCAACCAACAGCAGGATACTTGACTGTTTGTCCATTTAGGGGAGTATTTTGGATGAAGTAAATACACCTCAGGTACTCTGTAAAGGCATTTTGGCTTTGCTTAGAATAAAAGAGGTGAATGGTGAATACACAGCTCCTACTTATTCATTACAAAAAGGAAGAGTAGTGTGATCAAAGCGGTCACAGTCAAATAAGTCATGACTATGCTGAGCTTGTGCTCATCATTCATTCCTCAAACACCCAGCTAGGGTTCATCTCAGCGGATGTACAACCACAGATGCCACTTTAGTAAATGCAGATGAACCTGCACACACTGTCTCTACACCTCACTCACTTGGATAGGCACAGCAAGATGAAAAACTTCATAGATCTGCTATTTTAATAAGTTATGGGAACACAATTAAGCCTGCAAGCCCACTGTCAAAGCAGCAGCTCCAACCCTCCTCATTGTGGTCTGGCTTTTTTCCTTTCCTGAATCTGGCTATCTTCAGCTTTTGAGTGATGGACACTGTACAACACACACTTCCTCAACCAGAACAGTATCAGTCTGTTTCTAGAGTTCGCAAAAGAACTATTAGCTTCCACCTGCAAGGCTGTCAAAACCTGGGCACAGGTTACACATGCCTGTAAGTACAAGCTTCCCAAATGCTGGGAATTGATATGGGAAGGAGGTACTGGGGGAAGGCAGGGAAGGAAATCAAATGAACATAGGCTTATTTGGATCTAACAAGGTAGCAGGATGCTTTCCACACCAAGTGCTTCCATCAGATGGCATAATTAACACTGTTTTCCTAGTGAGAGCCAGCACAGCCAGCTCCACCACTCAAAATCACCAAACAAGTACCCTTTGTTTGACACACAAACATCCTATGCTTCCACCACTGCCAGCCCTGCAGCACCACACACACATTTGCATGACCTATCCATGACTAGGTAGGACACAGTCACTCCGTCTGTCCTTCCAAAGTGACTTTTCTCTGGTCCATACTTGCCTCCTAAGCAGAGGGAAAGATTTCTAAGGAACAGATTTATTAAAAACAAAGGAAAGAACAAAGTATGATTCAGCGTTAAGGGGTGATCATGCCTGGGCAAATTCTCCAGTCACACTCCTGTCTTCAAGAGCCAGTCAATTAACTTGGCTGTTTCTGAGAGCACAGAAGACAAGTCACTTGTTTTATTCCCTGTCCCTGTCCCAAAGATATAAGCATTTATTTACCAATCTGCATCACAGCAGTAGTAGTAAACAGCTGAGAGACAGTTCAATTTGTTGCATTAAAGAAAAAAGGAAAAAAGAACACACAATGTATTTGGCTGGATACTTACAATAAAACAAAAGAAAGAAAAAAACATGAAAGAAGAACTTCTGGCAGAGCAGGTCTTGCTCCCAGTAAAGTGAACAGGCAACTTGTGTTCATTACAACAGCAACAGGCTAGACACTTTCAATACACGGCTCTTCAAATGTGCTCGGAGTATATCCTGGCCTGACAGCTGTTGGCAGTGGTGTAGCAGCACAAACTCAAGACAATGCTAGTGTACAGATAGTTTGGTTAACTTAAGTGAACCACAAAAGAAAGGCAGGAAGATAAACTGACACAGACTTTAAATTTCTTTCTGATAAATCCATTTAAGACACAGTGTTTGCTTTACTAGCTCAGTGCCAGTTTTGGTCCAGGGTTTTTTGGTTTTCATGTTGATTTTGTGACTGCTAATGGTGCAGGCCACTTATATTTTCTGCTCAGACAGACACTTCAAATGCAAACATTAAGTGCTACACTCCAGTTGATTTGCCCTTTAGTCAGGTCTGCAGAAGTGATGCCACTTACTGATTATGGAGCTGAATAAACAAAGCTGCTCACAATCTCCTGCAAGAACCAGAGTGACATCACACGTGTTAATGAGGTATATATTTCCATGACGAGCTGTTTCCTGGTATGGAAGAACTCCAATCTCATTACACCACAAATTCCTCTGGGAGCTGGTCTTCTCCAAGAAGATCCAAGGAGAGGCAGTTCATGGATCGCTTCCCATAAAGAGCAGACTTGGTTTTGCAGTCTGCTGTGGAATAAACGCAGCCATAGATAGACAGCTTATCCTCCAGGCTGCAGCCAAATGTGTAGCTGTGGGACGTGTCTGAAGACAGCGTGGCACTTAGTAGTGGGTGCCGATGCTTGTAAAGGCGGATGTCATCCAAACTCTGGCTGTGCTGGTCTGTGCAGCTCCTGTTTTTGAGCGATCTGACCTGTCAGTTCAGTCACACACACAGGAATAAGACCAATGAGCTCAGACACAGCCTGAGGTTGCTGGCTATGCATGCTACAAGTTTCCCAAAATTGTTCTTCTACTCCTTCAAAAGAGCCCCACCAGCCTGAAGGATGTTGGCTTAATGAAGAAGCTGTGAACCATTGAGAAATTACAAGTGCATTAAGCTGCCCTGCCACATTCAGCCAGATCCTGATCTGTCTGCACAGTGTCCTCAGTGTCCAGTACAATGTACCAAATACTTGACAGGTATTGACACCTGACTGACCTGGTACTTCTTGGGAGATCCATGCAGTCATCCTCAAACGGAGGAAGTGCACACGACAAAAAATGACTCCAACAGCAGATGAATATGCTGAGTTAGTGAAAATCTAATAAGCTCAAAAGAAGGTTCAAGAAGGCAACCATGCAAACTGGTAAGTGTCCAAAATGGTGTAACACCTAATGGTGCTACTGTGTCCAAAATTAACTAAGTGTGACATACAGTTTCATCTACATAACTTTGTTTAGCAACGAAGAAAACAGGAGTGACATACCAGCAGTAATTCCCAGAGGCAGCATCTTACTACACAAGCTGTAGTGACTCAGCCTCTGTGGAGAAATTACTGACCATTCCAGACATTTCCAACTTCCCCACCTGTTTTTTCTTACTCTGTCTCTTAAATTATCAGCTTTTAAATGCTAACATTAAGGCTGATTTCAGGAATGTAATTTTTAAACAAGATACTTCTGTCAGAAACGCAGAAAACTTCCTCCCAGTATCATTTCTCTCACCTCCACAGGATGGGAATTAAAAACTACCCTGAGGAAATCCTGTGCTGGCTCAGCTGTGCTCCCAGAAACAGGCACATGCTGTATAGTCTAGTCAATGCTAAGGAAATCCAGTCCTGCAGCATGGCCTTGTAAGGAAGTTTGTGAGGTTTTTGAAGTACCGAAGTGGCAGCTAGGTCTTTGCAATTGCTTAGGCAGTCCTATGTTGATCAGAAACATTCTTATAAAGCAGATGCCTCCTGATCAATTAACAGTACAAAGCATGTGCTCGTAAAAGCATTAACATCAAAAGCATTACTTTAAGCAAAATGCCCGCTCCCTGCCTTGCAGTCTGTGAGCCACTCCACTCATATAGGAATAAGTTCATTAGGATTTGTTCAGCTTTGGAGAAAAAAGTTAAAAACCTAAATCATTCTTTTAGCAGATAAGGCTAATTTGGAATCAGAAAGGAAAGAAATGGTGGAGACTTGGCTTTGGTTTTGTTTTTATCTACCCCAGTGGGTACAGCTATACTTTGAAAAGAAATATTGTTTGGCCTTAGAAAGGCATTTTAAAAGGCTTTTTCCCAGCACAACTTATGATATAACATATTTTACCATATATAGTTGTCTTTTCTCAAGGGCTTGATGAAAAGAAAATGTTGACAACAAAGACTTAAGCACACACATAGTATAATCACACAAATAATAGTAATTAGGAGCTTGAGCATCTGGTTTTGCTCTGATGTGAGCTCCTTTTGGCTTCAGGAACAGGAAGATTATCAAGTTTGCAATGCACATCCAAACTGCATGGACATGTGGCTATGACTTGGCTCTATATTGCACTGAAAATTTGGAAGTGGGTTATTTTCCATTTCCCATTTCTGGAAGGCAGACAGAGCTGGACTGCAAGATTTTCCCACTGATGGCTCCAAACCTCTCCATGCTATTCAGGACCCAAAGGCTGCTCTCATCCTACTCCTAGTGAGCAGTAGCTGGCCAGCAGCTGGTTTTGGTTACACCATTTAAAAATCAGTCAAATCCAGACTAGTTAAGGTCATCTGATTTACTGCTGTCTCCATTGCACTAGACCTTGGTTCAATGCCCACACACTGACCCTCCTGCCAAGCACCCCCTTACCTGATGAAGGGATTCCACACTTTGGCCTCTCATTTTTATTAGCGTGACTTGGACCACAGACAACGATTCCCGATTTGTAGCTACAAAGGAAAAGGAAGAAGTGAGAAGCATTGCAGATTTGAGGTTTTGTGGGCTGCAGAAAAGGGAAGTCATTCTCACAGGCCACATTCAAGCAGTGCTGGCTTATAGGTATAAATATACATCAGTAAGCACCCTCAGCGCTCTGGAAGGTTTGCTCACAAGTAATTCTTTTTGCCCCTAAGGATTAATGTTTAAAAACCTCAAGAATACAGCTTCTCACCAATGTGTCCCATATTCACCCATCTTGTTTTGCTATAAAGGCTGCGTGTCTTATGGCCAGACAGCTTCTGTGTGACTCCATTCTCTGGCATTCCCTGTATTATAAGCCACAGACCTTTACCTGTTCATCCCTGTGACTAGCCTGTTAATCTGTGGTTGAACACCTTGTCTGTTTTGTGGTATACAAGATTTTACAGCAAATTCTTTCATGACAAAAGGTTATCTGTTCGTCATTAACCGAGTATAAACTTGGCAAATTTGGAGAAGGGAGACCTTGAGGAGGACAGAGGAGAGCAGCATAGTATAATACAGGGTGCTCGCCTTTAACTGCTAGATGAGCTGACTTCAAACCATGTTGTAGTAGGGCAATAAGTAGTACTGGCAGTAGTTTGGAAGAAGATACAGCTTTCTTACATCCCCTCAGATTACATCTGGTGCTAAAGCCTAAAGAAAAGCATTGAGCAGTAGCAGAAAGCCGTCTCACCTTGGCAGCTAGCAGCATCTAGAGGAAGAGATTCAACAGATTCTCCCACAGTGGCCTCCTCTAACTGGTCTCCCTCTAAAGGCTCATCTACAGGCACCTCCTCTGGCTCATCTACTGCCAGCTCAAGCTCTAGGAGGAAGAGAGCAGCAGGAGGAGGGTTAGCATTACACTTCTGCTCCAAGCTGCTTCACATTCTCTTACTCCCTGTTTTCCTGCAGGAGTAGGAAAGAGCAGGTTTAGAAGTTGATCTGCATCTCCAAAGCCTTTACCATCGTCCTGAGATTCATCTTCAGCCCGCCCTTTGCTGCCACTGTCAATGCCTGAGCTGCCGTAGCTGACGGTTGAGCTGCACGATTTCTCTTTCTTGTGCACCCGGTCGATGCTGAAGGGCTCATCCACCGACATTTCCACTGACACCCGGTGCCTGGAGTCAGCCTCGATGCCTGACGTGTGGGAGCTGCCGTGACTCCCCGTGGACTGGCGTGAGAGGCGGTTGTCCCTCCGGCTGCCCCCGCTGCTCCCGCTGCCACGTGAATTCTTATCACATGGGTCTAGGTCCATGTCCAGTGTGTCACTGATATAGGACTCCCGGTAGCGCTTCTTCTCTGAGGAAGAGAGGCGAGAGAAACCAGTGGGAATTTTAAGCAGGAGTGATGGAAGAGTAGCAAAAACAACATGGGCTGGGACAAACCAACCATTAAACAACAGCTGCAGCTACTGAACAGGTACAGGGACAGCTTTGTATTTTGCTTCCTCAGCAGATACCAGGATGCTCAGCTAGTTGTAAAAGAATTAGTGAGTCATGCTTGCAGTAAACCCAGCATCTCCTGAATTAGAACAGGCAGGTAGAGGCAGTTGTGATACAGAAAATAGTAGCTTCCAAACTGAAGGAAAGGTAAAAAAAAAAAAAGGGGGGGGAGGGGAGATTACTCAGCTAACCCAAGTGCTCAGGTTTTAAGAACAGAGTGCAATGATACCTTCTTGAAACAGCCAGTAACGTGTGGAGACAGCCAAGAACAGGATCCCTGTGGCTGGCATTTATTAATGATTTATTAATTATTTTCCGACGGCTTGTATCTGTTACCTACAGAGAGGTGTGCTGAGGGTGGTCAAGAAATCCATGAGACACTAGTAGACACAAACCAATCAAAGGCCTTTTGCACACACATTTGATTAGTGAGCCTTTCTACAGGCAACTGGCACGTGCCACTGGCTGCACCCACACAGCTCAAGGCCACTTCTATGACCCCACTGAAGAGAAAGACAACCAAAATAGATGAGACCAAGCCCTGCCTTGCCCTATACACTGATTCCACGCAACCAGTGATCACCACTTACACTCCTTAGAGCTAGTTGAGATGGGACGTAACCAGAAATAAGTTTCCAACCAGAAACAAGTTACCGACTACTGCTGTCTGACTTCTACTGACCTTCAGCATAACAACACAAGTCTTACAAACCCCAGTGAAAACAGAGAGAGCATGAATGGAGAATGCAGGGAACAGCAGTTAGGAAAGAAGTGGGGCAAAAAAGGCACTCAGGAGAAGGCTAGAGGGAAAGGACACAATCCTCTGAACGAAAACCTATGCAATGTGTTAAAAACAGTCACCAGGTAGAGGCAGGCTGAGAAGTTGTAGGAGATCCTGCTTGCAGAGTTGGAAAATGGAACAGCACGAGCTGGGAGGTAATGAAACGACTGAAATTTGTCTGGAACAATACTAGGGACTGTCAGTTCACATCTCTGTTGCTACAGAGAGGGGACCCCATCAGAAAAGACAAATTCTGGGAGTCCTGATCTCCTCTTGGGCTTTAGCACCTGCAACTCCTAGCTCTTAACTGTCAGACACTATAGACTAAATTGTGTGCAGTCTTTAGTAAAGGGCACTAAAAAATAAAGACACAGGCTCACAACTTGTACTGCTGCTTGAACACAATAAGATCTAATCCCAGTGGAAAGCTTTTTATTCAAAATTACTTCCACTTAGAAACATGTGTCAAATGTGCACAAATTGGGAGCACAAAGAGCAAAGATCTCCTCACTTAAAGTAAGACATTACTCTTCTACTGCACTCACACTTTCTGACCAGAGTCTAGCAATGTGAGAACCATAAACACTTCCCAGTAATGGAATTGAAACATACCTAACACCTCTGTTTCTCTCACTGGCTTCCTGATAAGGCAGAAACACCATTAATTAGGTAGAGAGCAGCCAGCATGAAGCAACAGCAGAGCCTAACTCTTCCCCTTACCAAAGTCACCTACTCTTCCATCACATACCTTCAGCCTCCTCCAGTTTTTGGATTTGCTTCAGCACCGGTTGGATATTGAGAAAGAGCCGGTGGCTATTGCTGAGGAGCTGCAGCAAGTGCCGTGACCTGAAGGGGCAACCCGTGTAGTAAACCAGTTTCCGTGCAGAGGGCAAACCATCTGGCTGGATCTCAAATTTTTTCCCCTGCATAAAGAGGAGAGATGCCAGTGAAATGAGCATGTTTCCAGCCACAAACCTACCAGAGATAGCTGCAATCTTGTGTGTATGAGTAACAGGACTTGACATGGCAGAATGGGCTTTGCCAGGTCCCAGGTTGACAGCCCAATGCCAGATGGCCTCTGTTCCGTCATACTCACCAGAAACGCCAGCTTCCCAATGTGTGACCAGGGAAAGTCGTAGAGGAGCTGTCGAACGTGGTTCACCTCCTGCAACACATCAAGCTCAGAGTGACACAGGGACTGGCAGGTACAGGGTGGAGTCAGCGATGTGCAAAGAATTTGCAAACAACCAAGAATGTGAGATATGTGGGTCCTGGTGCTCGCAGGGGAGGCAGAGGAGCCGCGGCTGGGGGGAGGACAGGGAGCTGGGCAGAGTTAATGCTACACCAGAAAGCTTTCAGAGCAGTCTGTTACCTGATAGATGTGCATTCCTCTGAGGGTCAGGCCCAGGATAACTGTCGGGCGATCCTCCTTCTTATCCTGAAAGAACAGAAGAGCTCAGAGTAAAAGGTTAATCTACAAAGACCACGCTCTTGTTCTAGCACCTACTGCAGGAGAGGTAGCAGGACTCCTCCATCAGGCAGATTCCATCAGCTCATTCAGTTTTTATTGTGCTTGTAAAAGGCACCTTGCCTTGTTGACCCCTGAAATATCTACACCTAAAATCCCCTCTTGCTGGGCAACTCAAGCATTTCACCAGCAAATGAACACCCTAGCTGCCCTGGCCAGGCAATCCAGCTTTAGTGATCTGAGAGCATGGACTTATCTGAGAGCATGACTGCATGACTGCTTTTAGAGGTACCTTGTAACCTCTCATGCTGCTATGTGCCATGTTTGCTGTAACCATGAACATGCACCACTCACTCTGCAGGTGACAGGGAGCCCGAAACAGAAGGGACACATGTCCCCTTCACCTTGCCACAGCACTGCTGCTAGAACCCAGGGACTTGCTGGACCTTAGGTGTCCCTTGGCAGAGAGAGGGCTAATCAATGTCCAGAGTTACAGAAACTTTCTTTATAACCTTTTGACCTCAGTGTTTGGAGCAGGTGATCTTAAATGTTTGCAGCTCTGCTGGAATACTGCCTTGTTTTTCCTCATACTGTGTCTTGGTATGACATACTGTCTCTAATGAGATTCCTCTGCTTGAAGACCAAAAAAATATCATAAACCAGTTCTTTCAGTCCTTCCTGGCATGGCAGACTAAGGGAGGGGAACACATACTTTTCTTGCGAGGAGGAAGAAGAACATTTGGGGGTAAAGATTTATGGGGCACAGAACTCAAACTTGCTATCAAAATTTTGTCTCCTCATCTGACATGTAAGATACAAGCCTCATGCTTATATCATCCCATTACTTCCCCCTTTGCCCCAGTACCATCTACGTCTCCAGTCTGAAGTCATTGGGAAATGCTTTCTGCCTCCTAAGAGCTTTGTAAATCAGTATTGGTCTGGAGGGGAGACATGGTGCTCAGTGCTGTGTTTTCCTTCAGAGTTCCCAACCTCAGTAGCAGGCATGAGGAGGGCATAAGACAAAAGTAACTGCTACTGAAATCTCAGGGCAGCCAGCACACCAACACATTCACCTGGCACCCCTGCGTGTGACCCAGGTATCACCTAGGAGGAGGAAATCTCACAAGATGAGATAACTGTGTCACACAGCAGGAAGAAGAGCACATTGTAGATCAAACAACACATGAAGGAGTCAGCAATGAATAAAATATAAGCTCAAGTTAGACAGGAATTTGGATATTAAGAACAACCATTTCACAGCCCCAGTGTTTTCAGATATAAATTATATCCTGCCCTGCCAGGTGGATTTCTTATGGCATTCAAGTATAACCCAAAAACCTTACGACTGCATCATTAACAGTATTGGAATCAAAACTGTGAGGACAGAGGAGAGGTAGGGGGAGCATCTACGGTTTGCAAGGAACTGAAACTAAGCCTGGACTGTAGACCTGGACTATAGAACAAACTGGAACTTATTTCTTCCAGAAAAATGCTCCAGTAACCAGAACTGCTAGATCTGGTCAAAGGACATGGTTACCTCCCAGACATAATTCCCACTGAGCACAACCAATCAAGATACTTAATTATGAGTCTGACAAAGTGGAATATCTCCATTTGGAAAAAAGAGGTCCAAGGCATTCCTAATAGCATGAGCAGGTTTCACTCGCTTTAAGCTGAACAGAAAACTTCTCCTAATTCTAGACCTAAACTCTCTTAGCATGTGAAAATGAAGTACATTCTGTTTAAGCCTGCTTGGGTAAGGAGTCTAAAACTCAGGGACAAACAACACAGGAATCCAAAAACTGACAGCTGAAAAAACACCAACCACTCTAACAGGGTTGGAGGTGTAAGGGAATAAGAAAGTCAGTATGACTCAGTGTCACCTCAGTTATTACATGGCATTTATGTGAAAGCTGGCCAACCTCTTGTCACCATTTCAACTGACTGTACAACAACAACAAAAAAGGCTTCTCTGTGATTCCTGGTGCAAGTCCATTGACAGGCAGGGACAAAAATCAAGTTTTGCCATTCTGCTGCCAGTTTCTTGGCCAAGGAACAAAGCCAGATTGCAGCTATACCTGTGTATCGACAACAGATTTGTCTGTGGGGACAGGCCTTGTAGGCTGAAAGTTTTAGACTTGTTTTGCACGTTCAGTGGTGCACCCAGTTAATGATGGGAGGGAAGGTCAAAATAAGAAGGAATTTGTTTAACCTTCTGCAGCCTGTAGAAGTGGACAGGCACATCTTCCAGCAGGCAGGACTCCTTAATGAACTTCAGCACTGCTTCCTTAGCACTCAGCCCTTGCTGTTCTCGGTGCATCTCTGGGGCATGTTTCAAGATATAGTCGCTCCCCCTCTTTGCAATTATCTAAACCGCAAGGAAAACAAACAGGTCAGCAACTCTTCAGCAATCCCCACAGGAGGCAGCAAAACAGAGACTGGAGATGGAGGAGGTTCATACAGTCCCTCAAGATGTTAATCCACATTCACCTCTGCCTCCCTGGAAGATAAGCGTTTAAAGTAGATGGTACCAATGTCTACAAACAGATCCTAGATGGCAAAATCGTAACAGACCAGGACTACAGAGGTCGTGTCAGCTCTTTTCATTTTAATTACTGGAATTAGCTTTTCTAACCCCTGGCATCCATAAATGCTTGTAGGCAGATAACAAATACTGCTCTGCATGCCAACACAATCAACAGCAACATCTCTAAACACTGCAGAAATGCTAGGTGGTCCTTTGAAGACCAGAAACTACACATTACCTTGTTTAGCATTTCCATCCTCAAAGGGGTGGATAACACTATCTCAAGGTATTTTTTTATCTGTTAGGAGTAGCTGGTTGGCATGTGGCTTTGCTAAGCAGTATTAAAACCCACACTGGGCCGTTTGCTCTTTGCCTTGCAAGTGCCCAGTTTCCATGCTTGCCCACATGCCCTCTCCATAGAAGGCTACAGGGCAGCCTAGCCCCATCTCAGACCACAAGCAGCGGTGACAAACAAGAGGGGCATTGGCTGAATTCACTTCATAAAATCCCTCACCAGTGGGGGCATTTAAAACTGGATCCCACTGGACACCTGAGAACATCCTGGATACCTGGGAACAACCTGCCTAGGCTCAAAACAACCAGACCCCATCACCACCTGGTTTATATTAAGCCCCCTATTTACTCTGCTTGGTAACACCTCTGCCCTCCCCAGCATGCCTTGACAGATGATTTTGCCCTCCCACGAGAAAGGCTGGGCTTGGTGGAGGACAACACCGATGCCATCAGCTGTGCCATGTTAGCAGAAAGAGATGCACTAAAACCACAGTTCAAAGTCAGGCTGATCACTCCAGGGCATCACCACCTCTCCTCACCAGCACAGGGCTTGGGGCAGCCCTTGGCCAAATGATCTGAAGCACGTGTTGGAGGAAGAGTTTATGTTGGAAGAGATCACTCAGTATCTCCCCATGGAAGCCCAGGGGCAGGGAGAGAAGCGTCCCCGTGCCTGCCAGATTTTGCTCTTTGTAATGATGGAATAAATCACCCACATACCTCCTTGGGGTTGTGGCTCAGTGCAGGTGAGCCAGGATTTGCCTTGGCCTTTGCAATGTTTGCCAGATGAGCAATAGTCTGTGATAAGACTTTTAATGGCCCCAGAAGTGGCACAAATGAGACCCACCTTTTCCAGCCCTTTGTTAGCTACCTTCTGCCAGGCAACATATAACAAGGAACAGCAAGGGAGGAAGGCTTCTTGCCTGGGAGAAAGGCTCGTTTCTGCACAGCAAGGTAGACAGGCTGGGACTTGTGCATGAAGGAGGCTCTACCAGCCTTGCCTCCCCAGTACAACTTCTGTCACTGCTCTGAACCTTCTCCCCAAAGCAGGGGACAGTGCCACCTATCAAGGGAGACACAACTTGGTTGAGGACCAACTACCTGAGGTTGTTTGAAGCCCAAGCATCTGGGCTTGAAATCTGCTGTCACAGCAGAGAAGGGGGCTCCAGAACTAAATCAGGTTGCAGAGAAGGTTCTGTCCAGGTCACAGGGAACATCCCGCTCCACCAGACATCCTCAGACATTATAAGGATGTGCCTGTAGCAAAGCTAGCTTCCCCTTCTATTTTTATGGAAGCTAAAGTGTTTATCAAGTTTCCTTGACACTTACCACTAGAGGTGAACTCTCTGTAGGTAACCAGCTCTGTCAGTGTCTTAGCTAATTCGCCTTCATTTGATAACTAAACCAACTCTTAGATTTCTAAGTCCTGAAGGTCACAGCCCATGCGCACATGCTTGTAAGCAAACATGCAAACCCATTTCCAGGCTCTTCCTTTTCCTCTTACTGCAGTTGAGCTAGAGGTTAATGACAAAGCAAGCACTAGAGGTATTGCACAGCAGTATTACCCCTTAGAGTTTGGGTCTAACCATCCCATAGATTGGGACAAAGGGCAGTGGACTTGGCTTCAAGGCACTAAGGTTTTCTGTAGAGCTTAGGTTGTGCAGATCTTGCTGATGTACCACTGCAAACATGCAACCCTTTGAGCCACAGAAGAATTAAATTAAGACAGCTGCACTGTCAGAGTTCTTAATTTGACACCAATACAGTCCCTCACCAAGGAAGGTTACACACCTCACTGATGAGTGAGCCCAGGAGAAATGGGCACCTACATCCAGTGGAAAGAGATGTCGTCTCCTGCGGGAATTCAGGGTGCCACTTTACCATTACGCCTGATCATTGCAGTGGGAGTTGTGGATATTGTGTGGCTGCAGTTAGGTACCACCTTGACATAGCTCCTGCTGCACATACAGTCTGTTGACAGAAGGATGCCCTGAAACTCACCCATTGCGGGAAATAAGCCTGAGGTTCAAAATATTTGCCAGTGTGGACCTTCTCTCTGTAGTTGCCCAAGTCTGCCTGTAAGCTGTAGGCCGCCAGCAAGAAGTAGATTTCTTCTTTGTGGTTGCATCGAGACATCAGAACTTGCTCTTTGAGATGGCAGTAGTAGAGCTGCCGTGCTACCTTATCACTGCAAGACACAAAGGCAGATTTACTTGAAGCAGAAAGTTTGGGCTCAGACAAGGCCCCTTAAACACATCTGTTTTGGAGAGGAGGGGTTAAACTTTGACATCCCTGATGTGTGCCAATGCCACCCTGATATAGCTGTGCGTAGGGGGCACCAAGCCAAGATCAAGGTGTTCTCCCACTGAGTGCTGTACAAACATGGGAAATAGTAGCTCCTATCTTGCCGAGAATGAGATCTAAGAAGTTAGGGTAGGGGGTAGATGAAAGAAAATCACGTCACACCTGTTTTGGAGACTGACTACATCAAGCACTCTGTTTCTCTGGAAAGCCTGTAGCAATCAGGAGAGCCAACCCCCTTGAATCCCAGTCCTGTTCTTGCACACCTGTCCTCCTTTCCCCTCTAAACCCAGCACTGCTTTTTCATTTCACCTTGCCTTAGGCGCAAGGCACTTTTCAACAGCCAATTCCTTGCAAGGTAGATCAAAAGACACTGGAGCCTTGGGCTTGTTTTTGTCTTCTTCCTCAAGCTGCTAAACAGGGATAGTCTGATAAGGCATAACTATCGCATAGCATTGATAACCCACACAGCCCCCGCTGTAAGAGCTCATGGGAAGCAGGCTGCTGACGTGTGCATGTACAGATGAGGTGCTGGACACTATGGTCTGGTTAGAAAAGTGTGTGTGTGTGTATAGTCTGAAGGGGCCATGCAACTACCTCTCCAATTAAATTACTAGTGCAAGAGAAAGTTGTTTGTGATGCTAAAGGGTATGCATGTCAGGGGTGGTAGAATGATATGCAATCTCCCTTTGTACCTATAAGCAAAACTAAGTAAAACACACCTAACAGCCAAACAGACTCCAGAAGAAAGACTCCCCTGTATCCAAAATGAAAGACTATGGTGAGAGAAAAACAAAACAAAACAAAAAAAAACACCAAGCTTTGTTCAAGATGAGAACAAATGCCAAAAATTTGGTAAAGATTTTAATCCACCCAAATGATCCCAGCTCTTGGATTGCCCTGAGGTCACAGCGATGCCAGAAGTGCTGATGCAAATTAACTCTGTCAGTTGTTCATTTTTAACTACCTCATCCTTTGTTCTGTACCAGGGGTGAGGGTGGTGGTGTTTTGAGTGCAGCCCATATTCCATGTGAATAGACTGCAAATGCAAAACTTATGAAGTAATTTCTTTTGTCTGCTTACAAAAGTCCATTTCCAGGAACAGACTGCACAGAGCACTGCTCAGATACAAAAAAAACAGATTCAAAATTATTAGCACGTGCTCTGGAGTATAGACAGATATTTTTGGTATATTCATCTGATGCTTTTCATACAACCAAAAGACGCAAGCAGAAGAGTATTAACTGTGCTTTGATACTGTCGTCATTCAACCTGCTCTCTAAATACAGATGGAAAAGCAGTCACTATTTTCACAGGGATAAGGAGTATGATTCAAGGGCAAAATATTCATGGCTGGATGAGGAACTCTGTGACAGATAAAAAAAAAATAAAGCAAATCTTTTGAGCTTATTTCTGAGACCTCACAGAGATAAACTCAACAAATAAATGTTATTTTACTTGCCTCCTAAGAAAACAGTAACTAATTCAAAACATAGTAACTGCCACAGAGGGGAACTTACCTTATTACTCTTCCATTTTCTACGTAGTATTGTACTCTGAAGAATGCAACAAAAGGAGGGCTGAATTTTTCTGTTCCCTAGAGCAGAGATAGAAGACAGATTAAGTAACATTCAGCATCCAAAATTCCTGTTACCCATCTGGTAACTCTCTCTTCTCCTTAACTCCCTCTCTCCATACTGCTTTTCATTTTCTGCTCTTAGCTCTTGGCAAGTTTTAGGGAGGAGATCCGACTGTCTTGCAGGCTCACAACAGTGAGACATCATAAAACATAAAACAGGCTGAATGTCAAAACATCCCAGGGAGGGTAGAAGGTTTTGGATGGGGGCAATGAAATAATAAATAACATAAAGGAGTCCCAGTGTAGCCTGGGGATGCCCAGCCTGACCCAGAGTAACCCAGCTCAGCACCTGGCAGCACATTAGTGCTGAACACAGCAGGTTGAACACAGCCTCCCTAAAGCACCAGGCAAGGTGGCAGGGCAGCGTGCCACACTGGCACACCTAGGAGTAACCAGCTACCATAGTGCCGCACCACATCACTCAGCACGGACACACGCGCTGCTGCAGGCAGCATCTACTGCCTCAGGCTCAGGTGCACCAGCCTGATATTAGCTCCTTGCCTGTTGTTTGGCAGGGCTAATGGTTAGTTATCCACACCTTCCTGCAGCCACAGACCAAAGGGAGACATTGATGTCTGCTTCACACTGAAGATGTCTGTTAGAAGAAAGCCAGCAAGAGTTCTGCTGTTGCTTTAACTCCAGCCTTCCTTTCACACTTAGAGGTTTGTTTAAACAGGAGAAAAAAAAAATATGTCTATGAGAAGGGAGGGAAAAAAAGGAACAGCTTATGTTACTAGCTCATTCTCTCATCTTTCCTACTTTGCCACTCACTTCTTTAGCATTCATACAGGTAACTTAGCTCACACAGCCAGTTTCAAGGTTTTGCTGGTCAGACCATCTCACTGGGACAAGGTATATGGCATGCTGTGCACATCTGATGTAGACAGTGATTTCTTGATCAAGTATTTACATGTTATTTTTCTGGAACTTGTTCACAGTCACCCTATATTGTCAGCTGGATGGGGCTTTCCACCTGAAATCTCTTAATAGGAATTAAATCCCTGTCTGCTAACCCAGTCCAACAGCCCAGCTCCTCTCAGACTTCAGTACTGCCAATGGCAACTCATCCAGCCTTTTACGATTCACCTTGCACCAAGGGTTTGACACTTGTCCCAACTTAAAAAGTGTTGCAAGAATCCAGCCTCAAAGCAATCACAAAGCATACCACATTCTGAGGTGACCAGAAACACTTGCCTCAGAAAAACGTCACTGGCTGGATAGATAGCCCTCTGCACAAGTGGTAGCTATCTTTGGAGTAACCCTCATGTATTTGGGAGAAGCAGTGTGGGATAAGATTGATCCCCAAACCTCAACAGTCACCTGCAAAGTTCTCTAAGCAGCAGAAACAGCAAGCAAAAACCCTTAAGGAAGGTGGAAAAAGTCATGATGAGCTAATTAAGATATTTGAATGTAATTGCACACTACACTGTGTTCTAGACTGTGGCTCCTCTAATAATGACACATGCAAACAGGCACTATCATGTCTGAACGACCAGCACTACACAATTACGTAGGCTTGTCTTTATTTCACATAGCTTTCCTCTCCCTTGACAGGCCTGGCTAGCCTTAAAGAATTAAAACTCTTCTCAAGCAAAATATTCTTCTTCTCACTGCACTGTCCTTCTGCACATACTCTGGAGGAGTCACAGCTCCAGCCTCTTCCTCATACCAGGTTCAAGTCACAAAATGTCATTTAAGCTCTTCTGCTTAAGCACAATGAGATCTCCAGACTCTTTGTGGGCTTGGATAAGTTCAAATGGAACACTGACCAAGTGACCTTCTCTACTCTTGTAGCAACTAAACAGCAACCATGCAGCTACTATTGCTCAGGTACAGTTGAGTAAGGGGCTGGTTTAGATCTTTTAGTTGTACCGCCATGCATAAAACATTGCACTTTGCTACCAAACAGTATTCTGCAGACCATCTTCAAGAAATGCTTTATGGATCTTAGCTTAAGAGCTTTAGTTTCACTGTCTAGTCCAATACAAAAGCAGTAGCCTCCAAAACCAAACATTTGTCTTACTTTTGTTGTCTCTTTCTTCCATTCTTTTGAGAAGTATTTGCTAAGCTTCTGCTCCAGGTCTATAAAAACATATTCATTATCTGAAAGACAAGAGGAAAAGGAATTCAGTGTTAAAGAATTTCTAATTCTTATTCATTAAGTACTTAGATGACTATATAAGTTGTTTCCAAGCAATGGACTGAAACAAAGCTGACCAGGGAATAGACAAGGCAGGGAAAAGGGAGGGCACCAAGTCTCTTTGGTATGTATGCTTCTGAGACAGTATGGAAGGAAGGTCAGCTATGCCTCAATTCGAGAGAGCCAAGGTTTCCCAAACACCCTCACCAGAAATGCAGAATTCCTGCTTCATAAGGAAGAAGCCACTTACAGAGGGGAAACATCACCTTACCAAGCTAATTGTACTGTCACAGTTTAGCAGATTCAGCTTTTTATTATAATTATTTAACAAATAATCCCTACCCAAACTTACATTCTGCCATCACATCATATTGCCACAGCCCAACATGGCACAAGCAAGTGGAGAGTCAGGTATTTGACAGGTTTCATCCTCTATATATGAACTGGGTCCTCCAAAATGGTGAGGAGGACAACAACCAAACCCAAATGTCCACCTCAGAAGGTGTGGTATCTCCTGCTCACTTCTTTCGTAGAAGAAAGAGATGAATAAAAGGAAGGGAAACCTGGCCTCTCACAAGACCAGGACTTGCTCTCCACCCAGGTGAGGGTGAACAAGAGACAGCCTGAACAGCACATCGCCTTCAAAGAGCTTTGTGCTGCTTTCAAAGGCAATTCTTTGTTTCACTGCTTACCAATTATCAAATCCAAAATAACTCAGACAGTAAACAATTGTTTCCAGTCTGCACAAGTCTCTTTAATAATAATTTTTAATAATAAATAAATAATAATAATAGTAAAACCTGATGGGTGTTTCAGGCTTCAGCAGCAATGCCACCTGAGCATTCACTTGACCAGTCCCTCTACTCTTTGGTCTCGCCCAATAAAGTGCTTTGACAGGTGACATAAGTACCAAGTTGAAGAACTTGTTCCTTAGACATGAAAAGAGCAGGAAAAAGGAGGGAAAAAAAAAAAAAATCCCAAAACAGGAAAACCAAAGGAGGAAAAAAAAGAACCCTTCACAAAATCCCTTCACAACGTTCCACCCCTGATGACCAGCCCAGACGAGAGCCTGCACTTCTGTCTGTACAGCAGATGGAAGATCTGGTAGAGGCCACAGTTCCAGTTACAGCAGGTATTCAAGGGAGCTCTGAGCTACCTCACAGCCATCCTCCCAGAGCATTCTAGTTCCTTACAGGGGCAGATACTTATTTTGCAAGCTTTTAAAAAACAAGAAAGCAAAACAACCCCCTATTGCCTCCTCCTTCAATTCCCATCTCAAGTCAAAGAAACCACATGGGTCCATATGCCACACTAACAGGAAGCCTTACATAACATACCAGTAACACTGGACAAAAACAAAGAGGACAATCCCCCAAAAGTCCCTTTTCTGCCTCTATGGTCTTCCTTGCATTGTACTGATTGCAGCTGTAGTTTTAATACAATTACACTTGTTTACCACATTGCTTGATATGTTACATACATATACATACAACAGTACTTAGCAGGAGTGTTGAAACTGTACAGAAATCATGAAAATTTTAGTGGTGGGAATCTAAGTGCCACAGCACACAAGGTGATACAGAAATTGCTTTGCTATTTTGACAAGGAGAGGAAGGTTTTAGCACCACAGAAACTACATCTTGTACCTGCCTTTTCACTTATGCCTGTACAACTGGGCAGCTGGGGGCCTGTGCTGGCACCAGCCCTTGATTCTCTAAATCCATTTGGATCAGATAACGCTGCCTTAAGAAGGTTGATAGAAGCCCCAGTCAATGACAGAGATGGGTTTGGTGTATCTCTTGGACTTGTCTCTGCCCCTTGTCAGCTGTCAAGCTGATAAGCATCTCACTGTAAAGCTTTTTCTTAAAAATTAAGTAAAATCTCATTTAGGAAGTGACTGTACAGCAAGCAAGAGGAGTGGGATAACACAAGCACAGCACCCAATCCCTGCCTGGGCTTTGGCAGTCCCAGGTCAAGGGTACTTCTGCATGATAGACTCCTGCAGTGGGACTGAGGCTGCTCCTGGCACAGAAGTGTTGAGTGAAGCCTGTACTGGTTCTGCCAGCACCAGTATTTAGCTGCCACCTTGTAAAGAGGGTAGGGTACCTACATGGTTGTACAAGCCGAGGGGTCAGTTTTCCCTTCGTGCTCAGGAAATGATGGATACATATATACACAATGAATCAAGCCACAAGGGAAAGATGGCAACAGAAAGTGCAGTGATATACCCTGAGCCGTCCCATCATACAAGGATACTGGGACAGAAAGGGGAAAAGGATGACAGAGTAGTTACACCATAATAAAGCCATTTGTTACCCACAGTCCCTATTTACCTCTGTCATGTTGATTAGGTTACATGTGGCCCCTAGCACGGCCCACATGCCAAGCCTGAGGTCTCCAGGTCACTATCATGCCTACTGAGAGGTGCACACAAACCCCAAGAATAAGCCAAGATGAAGGAGGAGGACAACCTGATGTATCAGCTCTCCCTGGGGGTCTTGCTCCTTCCCAGCCCAGCATCCTCCTCACCCTTCCTCCCTCCCATGCAAGAATGCAGCACTGCATTCCTGCCTTAATGAAGTTAATATTGCTGGAATGTCAACCTGCAGCGTAAGACTCTATCTACAAAAACAAAGAGGTATTTCCCTCCCCAGCCTTATGTGGGTTGTGGTTTTAATTTTCTCCCCTTAAACTGGATTAGCAGTGAAATTTTGCTATCTTTTGCCAGATGCCAAAACTGTCTGTGGCTTGAAAACAGCATCTCTAACAGAGATGAGGGCACCAAACTGCAGCACTCCAGAGCAGTGCTGTAAAGGACTGCATAGAAACGCACAGATGGGTGCCGGCCCAGGGAAGAACATGTCTGATCTGTGGATCAAAACAGTGCTGGATACTCAGCAGGTACAAACTGTCATTGCTTCACAGGCCTCAGCTGAAGGACAACTGAAAGGTAGTAAGAAGCTGGCGTACAAGTTGCATGCAAATATGCACACGTCCACCTGCAGCTACTGACACTGCATTCATGAATCTCGTCTCAGCACTGTCAGTGAGCTTAAAAATAACATATCAGCTTCTCTTAAAAGGTTCCCTCATGTATGTGTGTACAATACCAGACCTGGCACAACACACCCATGCGTTGCACTGCATTTGGATACCCAGCCAGTTTCCAGTAACATAATTTACTTTTAAGAGCCCTCAAATGAAATACGAGGTTTATGCTGTAAAAATCTCACTTCAAATGAAGCACTCACCAGAAATGCAAACATTCAAGTGCTCCAGCTCTGCAAAGCTAGCTCAGTACATTTACATATTTAAGCAAATATAGGACAAGCATTGTTGTGGAAAAATAATGGGCCAGGTCTCCAGTCAGAAAAAAGTGACACAGTTTCAGGGAGTGATGTGGATTTACAATAGGAATTATTTACACTGCAGGGAAAATGGGAATAGAAAATTATGGCTGTAATACAGGGTCAAATAAATTCTGAATCATTGTTAACTCTAAAAGCCAATGTTATGCATTAACCAGTACCTCCCCATTAAATTTTTTTATAAAAGGTAAGTTTCCCTGCAGAGAAAGTAAGTAATGGTGAATGCCAATAACTTATTCTCCTCCTGTGCCCATTTTGGGCTAGGAGCACTGAGAAATTCCAGAGGGCTAAGTCCTGTCCTACCAAGAGGCAGAGCTCAGGCCCCACTGGCAGCCAAGAACATCCCTTTAACTCCTTTGGTTGAGTGAAGTATATTGTAGTGTAACTATTTAGACAGTCCAGAAAATTAGGATTCAAATAAAATATGAATTAGTGTAAAGCCAAACACAGTGAGCATTTTCTGCCTTAAAGGGGAAAACCCCCAACACTTGGCTATAGTGCTTAACTTCTCCTCACAACACACGCTGTGGACCTCACATAACCTGTTTAGCTTCCCCGCATACCAGCATAGATTTTTTTGTTTGTATTGAAGAAGAGCTGACTACACACAGGCATGTGGAGTTCCCCAGGTTTCCAAGTTCTGGTGGCCTGGGAACATTACCACCTGTACATAATCTCTTGATGCTCCTGGTGTTACCTTTCAAGCCAACAGAGAGAAACCTTGTCCATTTTTCAGTACCTGGCTGATTAGTTTACTAAGTGATCTAGAAGAACTTGGTTCAGGCCATCAAGCAGGCTTGTGCGTTTAGTTTCAGCTGGAAAGTACATGTACACCAAGTGAAGAAAGAAAGAAACACAACAGAGACTGGGAGTAAAGCAAGGGAGGCCCTGACCGAGATTGATTTACCTGGGATGGGCAGAATGTATATGGAGGAAAGAATGAAAGGAGGCAATATCAAGAAGCCCAAGGCTGTGTGGCTGTTAGTAACTGTTGAGGTCTGAAGACCAAGATAAAGGTTCAATCATTCCTGATGATGGATAGGTACTGCAGGAATTTTATGTTGGCATCTTACAGTTAGCAACAAGGCATGCCCAGGCACAGATCTTCAGACTTTTGGCACTGTCACGAGAGATTCTTCTGCACAAGCAGAGCTGCAGAACCATTTCCAGCACTGCTCATCCAGGAGCAAACAAACTCCTTGCAATTCTCAGGCAGGAGAGCACTTGGTCAGGCAAAAAACCCATCCAAGGAGTATTATATACTTTTTGAACACCTGAATCTCTGCAGTTCCCTCTAGGTGGCACATTTCTGCACGTTTTTCTTGCATCACATTTAACTCATTTGAACTATCAAAGTCATTATAATAGAGGTGTATCTTACATTGCAGAAGAAATTCATAAGACAGATGTAACTATCCAAGCGGATTTAAGGGAGAAGAGGCAGAAGAAGGGATAGAGGGAAAAGGACTAGGGTGTAGAAGTCAAAGCGTATTTTGGAGAAATTCTGTTGTCTCTTAAGAGAACTTTTGTTGTAATAATAATATAAAGATAACATATTAGCGTATTCCATCCATGAACTTCAGTACTGGAGGATACACAGATGCAGGGAGTTAACTGGAAGTTGAATGGCCCAGTTAAACACCAAGTTCCTTGCTAAGAACATGCTGGGAGGCATAGGTCTGGCAAGGTGAACAGCATAGCTGTAATAACTAGAGGATGATCCTTGAGGCAGGGGAGCTGAAGGGATCTGGTTTTGTCAGAAAGCCAGCCTAACAAACTGGTAAGACACAGAGACAGCGGCAGGGTGTAGGAGCTGCAGGCTTGCTTGCTCCCTCTCAGTCAAAGGCTTCCATCTGCTTGGGTCAAGCAAGGTTTGCTCCTAGAAAGGAGAAGCCCAAGATTCAAGATCGGAGGGATCTGGGTTATAACAACAAAGGAGGCCTGGCTGTTCTTCGTCTGCTGACAATCAGTTTTGTTTTAGAAGACTGAATTGTGTCACTGCATATGCTTTCTGATAACAAGGGGGAAACCTCCTGTAAGCTACTAGATAAGATTGACCCTGCAAGAAGAGCTGCAACATAAGACCCATCTGCTGAAGCTTATGGAGCCAGCTTGAAGCTGGCAGGTTTGCAGGGTCTTTCACTAAGCAAACTACAGGAAAGGATGCACTGCAAGCAGCAGCACACAAGGTACAGCCTGCTTGATGATCTGTGTCAAAACTAGAGGAGCAGCATGTCCCAGGCTTTGTGGTGGTGAGACCTCCTATTAATATATACCCCTGACCTCAATTTTCAAAGTGATCGGCTTCTTACAGATGCAAGCTTTCTTCCTCCCAAATACAGTCAGTTGGAGTGGTCTGCTCAAGAGCAGAAAAGGTGAAGAACTCTGTCCTGCCACCATTACTGATAACTTAAATCCTGAACCTTGCCCTCAGCATCTGTAACAATCAGAAGTGAAGGCAACAAATTTGGACAATAAATGCCGGAAGACAGGCTCCATAACATACAGCTTATATCTCACAGCATTCATGGTTCCCAGTTTGCATGGTGCCGTTTTCATTTTTGCAACACTTAGGGGTTAAACTTATGTTTATGATTAAGGACCCCAACCTTCCCCCCCCCATGCTTACTATGAAACCAACTGAGCATTAGTGTATCTGTACAGTGTCTGCAGGTCAAATGGGCTCCTAATCCAGATAATCCACCCAGCGTGATTGGTTACAGTTCTGTAGAAATCCTTTAATTTTCATTCTCTTGCCACTGCTGACAGTCAGGGTTTTGCTGACAAATTAGCAGCAAGGTAATGGATATAGGTGGATTAAAATACCTTGTTTTGCATGTGGCAGCATCAGACTGCCAAAACCAAATGCATGTTAAGAAACTGGGAAATCTACCCTTATTAAAACAGGACAGTTGTATCTTTGAAAATGACATCTTAGAGCTGCAGCACAGAGGTGAAAGCAGATGCAGAAGAGGAATACTTTGGTCCAAAACACAGGTGCTTTCTCTCCAGTTTTTGGAGCTCTAACCTGCCCCATGCCTTCCCTTCACAGCCTCTGCAGGAGACACACCGCCTTGCTGCCTGGCCAAGGCAGTTGATTTAAGTACCCACATGACAACCCTGGGCAATGCAAAACTTACCCAGGCCTCCCCCACAGCCTGACTGGATTGCTTCCCTTTCTTGACATGACAGCTTGCCATGAAACCAAAAAACCCTGAGAAGCAGGCCCTGAAAGGCTACTTCCCAATGCCAGAGATGGAGAGTGTTACATTTGCAACAGAAGGAAAACCGCTTACCACTGGCAGCAAGGGTGATCACCAGCCTGCTGGCCAAAACGGGGGTGGGGGTGGAATTCAAGTTGGGGAACAGAAAACAAATTATTTCCTTCTCTACAGTAGTAAAGATGAAACTATTTTAAGAACAAAATAAAGATGACACTTAAAACTACTCCACAAGACTCCGGTCAGCAGCTTACTGAATTTTTACAGTAAGGACCATAGGAAGCAATAACAAACAGACCACGTTGGCTCCCTCACTCAAGAGTGGGATGCAGCCTTCCTTTGGGCTAAAATCTTTCAGGCTGAGAAACTCACTGCTGATGCTTTCCTGTTGGCCAACCCCAACAGTTTCTTAAACAGAGGCACAAACAACAATAAATCTGCTCCTCTGTACAAAATACTGACACTTGCCTGGGTGGTGGACGGAGATGGCTGTCAGGAGGAGCCAGGGCGAGCATGAGGAGCTTTCAATTAAGCAGCTTTACAAACTGAGCTACAGCAAGGATAAATGAAGAGCCGTAAAGAAGAGAACAAACCAAAAAGGTTAATTCAGTCTGCTGGGCTCCTGCAACTCTTTTCCTTGATGTTTTTCTGAGAGCTGTGCAGAGAATTAGCTGCTCTAAAAAGGAAGAACACTTTTGTGAAGCAAGAAGATTGTTTATGTTTAAAGCCATGGGTAATATTCTTTAAGGTCTAGTCAGCACAGCTTTATTGTGCTCTTTGGGTTGAGTAATTATACTGCATTTCCAACAGGCTGAAAGGCATTTGCCACAATAGGGTATTCTGGGGCCCGAGTCCCTGTGTTTGACATGTTCAACTGCCGCATGCAAAAGGTGGGAGAAGTTAAAAACAGGGTACAGAAAATATGAAAAAAGGAAGATGGTAAGGTGGGGGGGAGTGAAAGAAACATGAGGAGAACAGGAGAAGAGCACTTAATTCAAAGAAAATGGTAATGAAATTGCCCTGTCTTACATGGGAGGTCAGGTGCTCCAGTTTCACTGAAGATGTTCTGCAAGTGTAATAGGTGAAAACTGGTGTTAAAAAAGGCAGCGAGGAGGGGTGGCTCACAGGCACACAGCTGGTTCATGAAAAGAGTTAAGAGCATTCAGGTCTTCCTCACCTTAAAAAAAAAACACCCAAACCTTTGCTGGTTTAAGCACATATAGTTCTTAGCTACTGTTGTAGTTACACTGATGGAATTTCTTGGAGACTCTACACACCTTATGGAGATAAAGAGCTTATGCCTGTCTTAGTTTGAGGACTATGCTCAAAAAAAGTGCAAAAGTTCTCAGAGAATAAGAGCATAAAAGGAAATAAGACAAGCAAACTTAAAGGGAACTATTTTATCCCATGTAATCATTAGAAGGCAAAAGAAACCTTATTTGGAAGGACGCATAAAAGACTACTCTCATTTCAGTGTAACAATATCTAGAGTTGCAGTAGTAAATAACACACTTGAGAAAACTTGGAGGGGAGTCCTTTCTGTGCTTTTGGAAATGGGGGGAGGCAGGATAAGGAGGACAACAGATCCGTTTCTTATTACTAAGAGTTGGGGACAGAGGGGGTGCCAATGCACACACCATCCTAGAAATGCAATATCTCGTATCAGTTTGCTCATTTAAGGCATCACCTTACACTGTTACCTGGTCAATACTGAGCTGTAGGACCAAGACTGGACTTCAACCCACGGACTAAGAAGTTTTGTATTTCCCATGCAACATTTCAAAACCCAGTGTCCCCAACACATGCATTCAGTCCCCCCAAACCATTTGGGTTTCCTCCCCCTGCTGCCACATTCTTTTCCTGTGACTTCAGAAGTAACACTTTCAGCCCCAAGGTCCTTTTAAAATTCACCTCTTGTTCAAATATGGACAGTTCTGAATTCAGTGACAAACATGTTGGCTAGCAACTTGGCTACAGGAGAGAAAGAAAACCCCACGAAGAGGTGGAATGTGAGAACAAAGGTGGAGAACAAAAGCCCCCCCCCTTCTCCCAATTTGTCTGCCCACATACCAAAGATCAAAAGAGCTTGAGAAGCCCATGCATAATCTACATACTTTGTGACCTTACTACAATCAAGTTCCCTGCAGGCACGGCTGCTGTGTATATATGCACACACTGTAAATACACAAGCGGGTCTGTGGACGTTTGCCAAGTCATTTGCTCCGCGTATTGAGTTTGCTTACTTTTAACAATGCTGAGGCCAAAGAAGTGAGGCTCTTTAATCTTCACTAAATCACAAACTTGCTGAAAGAGCTCCTGTCCAGTGGCTTTGACCTGAAAGAAACAACCAATCCAACATTACAGAGGGCTCACACACCTGGATGGAGCAATTCTACTTCACATTGGCCAGTATATTTTGAGGTACCATAGCAAAAAAAAAACCCAACCCTGAAACAGCCAAACAAACCCCCAAATTCTCCCAAAACAACCAAAAAAAAAAAAAAAACAAAACAAAACCCCAAAACAGAGCAGGGTTTGTTTTCAGTATTACTGCTGTTATCACAGAATAGTAATTAATGCGTCATTCTCCTTCCTTCACAGTGCAGCATTGCTCAGTTTAGCAAGATGAATTTAAAAGGTTTCCTACCTATTGGCATCTCTGTGTAAGAATCTGGAGCGCTGCTGGAGCCCTGGTTTTGTTCAGTACTGACCAGACTATTTATAGGTGCTCTTACAAAAACGTGCTTGTAATTACAAAAATGAAAATACGAATTTCTTGAAGAAATTTTCTTTTAAGAAAGAGAGGTTAAGAGCAAACAACAAAACCAAAAGGTTTTTATTCAGGAGAACTAAAAACAAAAGTACAAAACTAAACTCATAACTGCATGGTTTGAGAGCAGAAATAGATCGTGGGTTAGAGATGAGGTTGCTCGGTACTGCCACAGAAGAGCTTGTTCTGTCCCCTGCTGACTCCTGGTCACAGAGCAACTAACATCTTCATCTTCTGAAGCTGCCACCAATGGCCAATAAGCTCTTTCCTATTTCCATGAGACACAGAGATCTTCCAGTACCCTTGCTTCCCATAACACTGTGCATGCTCTGAGGAAGCACTGGGAAAAGCAGAGCTGCCAGCATACCCTCCTGCATGAGACCAGAGACTGGGGGGAATTTGCAAGCATGGTACAAGGGCAAGAGAGCACCGTAACACTGTGGCACAGATACTGAATGCACCACTAGCAAGGTGGCTCAGAGTACAGGCTCCCCCAGTAAGAATGTGATGCTGACTACCTGCATATGCAGGCCTGGATGTGTACTATGATCACAAGATTCCTCCACTAAATGCTCCCCACCTACAGCCTCATTTCCTTCTGCCCCATTGCACCACCCCAGAAGCACAGACAGATAACCACAGGCACAATCAAAAACCCTCAGAGGCACTGGGGCAAGAGCAGATGGGGAAAACAGTACAACGCTGACACAGATAAACTCAGCTCTGCACGGGGTGCAGCCAGCTGCAGACATGAAATGGGCCAGAAGCTCTGAATTTCACTGCATTGCTGCTGGATGATACAATTAGCAGCAGCAGAAGCAGCCTTCCCGAGGGGACACAGTGCAGCACTACCTTCACAGCAGCAAAGATAACTGGGCAGAAGCCAACTGCTGAACTCTCCTACAAACTAATCACCACCAACAACTAACTGCCACTGCAATTCTTCAAACCCTTTTAGTGCCACACTCCCCAGAAACTGGCTGCGCTCCCCTCCCTGCCCCAGGCTATACCATGTCACTAGACATGGACAATGGGAACAGGAGGTCATTTAATTACTTGTTTTCTTCTACTTGCCAAGCATCGCTAGCCAAACACTCACTACTGTTTTATTGGGAGCTTTGAAACCTGTGCTACACCCATACATACACGCATGTGCATGTATGTGCTTTGGGAAGAAAGGAGGTGATGCACAGTTCTGGTAAAACCCAAAACCACAGCCAGGTCTTAATATGGGTCTCCATGTGAGACTGCACCCTTACAGTCTCTCAAATAAATGCGGTATTTACTCAGCTGCCAGGAATACACAGGTGGAAGGGAAAGTTAGGCACAGATTGACCTCCTTCCTGAAGGAAGCTCTAAGCCTGTTCTCCTACCTGGGAAGGACTAAGGAAGAGGTGACCTGCCCCTAGCCAGAATGGTGACATGAGTCACTAGCAGCACAGGACTTTATGGAAAAGCTGAAATCAAATGAATTTTGTAAGTGGCACGCTTTCACACCTAAGGGAAGAAAAACCTGCTTTAAGACACTTAGTTCCAGGGAGCTGAGCACTTCAGTGTTTTGTGACACTCTAAAGTACTGACTTAATCATATTTCTTGCACAGCAGGTATGTGAACTACCATTTTGTCCATTCTCCTTTTGGCACTTCCCTTTTGTATCAAGTTTTACTTCCAGCCTTCAAGGCTATGCAATACCAGCGACACTTGCAATGGCTATTCCCTCTTCCTGCCTTCCCCTATGCTCAAAACAACCAACATTTCCCTTTTCATTTTTAATCCGTGCACTTCTCTTTGGCCTTTCCTCCCTTTGCATATGATTCCTGTGCCAAGCTCCATCCCAGACACGCCATGAATCATTCCTTCCACTGATCCTCAGCTTTGCCCCACATCAGACTCAGGGCTTCTTTACATGTGGAATTTAGTCCAAAGCGAAGTCAAGTGCAAGCTTACAGAAGGTACTGCTACTCCAGGGTCATTCTGTATGCAAATATTCACATGTACTGGTTACCCATCTCTATTTTAACTCAATCCATATGCTTTAAAACATCAGCTCTCCTGCTCACAGAACAACTGAAAGACTCGAGACCTACGCTTGCCATTCACCAACACACAGAATCTGCTCATAGGACTTCCTCACGGCAGAAATTCCTGCTCATGTTCCCACGCTTTCTCCAGATTCTAGGCAAGGAGCAATATCTGCTGTGGCTTCTTCTGAGACCTAAACACAGGTAGGGTGGCTGCCTGCCCTGCTACCCTCCTTGGCAGCCAGACCTTCCCTAGCATAGGGGTCTTTCCTTTATTCAGCTGCTACCAGCCCAGAAAAGTTTTAGAAACCTAGTTGATCAACAGGTTCAACACCACCAGGAAGATAAGCCACAATGCTGGCAGACAAACAAAACTGAGCAAATTGGATACCACTCCAACATCTCTGGTGCAAGCAATACAATTTTTAGTTACCCCATTCTCACTCAAGCCCACTTAAGCTCTCTGGTGCTCATACTCCACCTCCCAGCTCGGGCTGCCTGGAGCAAGGCAGATGGCTTTGCTCCGTGCTCAGAGGTCCACTCTTCCCCTTTGCCTCACTGTCCTCAGGGCAGCTGGTGGAGCTGCAGCTCCCACTAGTTCTCCTCACTGCTTTGCTTCTCATGCTCACAGCTGCATCCTGGAAAGATAACCTTCCTCCTCACCATCCCCTCAAATTCACCTATACATGCAGAAAGGTGGACACCAAAGTTAATAAAGAGATACCCAATTATGAGGGAAGAAACTTTAAAATGCCTCCTGCTGTTCCCTCTTCAACAGCACTGTCTGTTAAGGACATAAATCCATTTTAAAGAGCGGGATTCAATCTACCTGTGACCACATAAAACATATAGGTAAACTCTTATCTGGAAGGGTGGAATTTATATGGGAGGGAGGAGAAAGGAATTACCTGCATAAACACTGTGCTTATCATGGGAAGGATCTATAGTTTATTCTGCTGCAAGGATAACCATTCCTACCTACCTCACTGAGCTGCAAGCTTGTTTAGTATTTGCATTCCACACTGAAGAGGTTAAAAGGCTTTGAAAATCATAAGTAGTGGCATTATCATTCTAATAAATGCACAAAGTATCATCTGCGGTTGTACTAATTGAATTTGAGTTCAACATCATTAGAAAATTGCCTTGATGTTCCTTTTAAAAATATATACAGATCTCCAGGCGTGAAACCTTATTTTTTGTTGCTGTTTTGAAGGGGTGTTGTGGTAAAGACAGAAGCCAAATGAAAAGCTAGTTTTGGTGACTTGCCCAGTTTTAACAGGTCATGTTTCACCCTCTATGCAATTAGGACACAACTGCACATTAAGGTCTCATGTTTTGGCCCAGGCAGCTATTCCGTTTCACACAAAAGCATCTCCACATATATGTTTTCTCCAGTTTTCCAGCCACCAAAGCAAGCAGCAGCAGAAGCAAGGAAGGGCAACGTCTTTAGAATCATAGACTAGTTTGGGTTGGAAGGCACATTTAAAGGTCATACAGTTCAACCCGCCCGTGATGAGCAGGGACATCTTCAACTCAAAATCAGGTTTGCTCAGAACCACAAAAAAGAAGGCTGCTGGGAGGTGCTGTGACAGGGACACCCCTGCGGGACAAGGCAGCAACGCTCAAGGCACCCCAACTCTTTAGAGGGGCAGCAGGCACGACATGGCACCTTCCTTCTGTCTCTGCCAGCACTCAATACAAAGGTCCATTTCTTATGCTTATTAAATACCCCAGAGGTATTTAAAAGATGTATAGATGTGGCACTTAGGGACATAGTTTAGTGGTGGACTTGGAAGTGTTCGGTTTATGGCTGGATTCAATCTAAAGGGTCTTTTCCAACCTAAATGATTCTATGATTTTAGGATAAACTGCAGGTATCCAGGATTTACTGTAGAGTCTAAAAACTGCCTGAACTTAATATGGTGGAGTGTGACCCAGCAGTGGAGGAACAGCCATGTGCCCAGGAAGGAGCAGTGACAGCACCAGCCCTGTTGGTACACTGCCCTGCTACACACCAGCCTGCACTTTCCCCACAGCAGTGGCCTCCACTATCTCAGATCTTCATTCTCCCTGATAAAAGCTATAAGAAGGTGAGATTTAGGGTCAGCTGCAACAGACCATTCCCAGGCCTGTGCACCTGCCACCAAGAACTTAATTAAATTGTCATTCTGAGGCTTGCACAAAAGCCAGCAGACTGCAAAACCCCTCTGGGGCAGTAGCTGGGCTGGGTTTGAACGGGCAACCTAGAAGCAGAGTGCCCCAGATTTTGTTGTTAAAGCCCTATTCCATCCAGCCCTGGTGGCTGTTTCAGTTAATGATGCCACACAGGCACAGCAGGTAGGAAAATTCCTACATGGATTTTGAAGATTACCATGCATATTTTCAAAAGCCACCAGCTCAAATCAAGTGCTTGAAATAACAGTTCACCTCAACTGTCTTCTCCCCCTCCCCATCCCAGAGGGGGGGAAAACCCACGCAAAACAGAGCAAAACCTTCCCAGCCTACACATGAGTGCATGTACACACAGAAGAGTGCTTATCTTTCAGGCTGGCTTGTCTTCTGAATGTGAAGTGCCTCTGTCAGCTCAGTTTCTCACAAGTTCAAGGAGCAGCCGGCATTGCACAAAGAGGCACCATGCCCTGGTGGACACTGTGCCACTCTGGGCTGCCAGCTGACCTGGCTCTGCTGTCACTCATGCACACACTCTTGGGCATTTGAAGTGGTGATCAAAGGAATGAAGTGACTTACCTCTAGTTTTTGTGTGTACACGTACTCAAAGAATGGAGAAAACCCTACCTGCAGTGGCTGTTTCCCTTAAGACTCTGAAGGGATCTGCAGACTATCAAAACCAGAAATAGCTAAAAGTCAGAGCAAATAGTCATGTGTTGGTCACAGCTGCCAAGTCATCAAGGCATTTCAGGCTCAGCCCTTAAAAACTGCTAGATTATTAGCAGTGACAAAAAGACTCTGAGAAAATAAAAAAGAGCAGGGGGGACCCTCTGTCCAAAACCACCACAGAGAGCTTTAAGGAACTCTGCAAATGAGTTGAAGCTGCCCAATAGAAAATGGAGCACCAATTACCCTAAGCTGGCTAATAGCCTTTTGGTCAGCAGACCCACACCAGGCTCTTGGGTGAACAATGGGGGCTAACAAAACTGAACCACAGCCCTAAAGCAGAGACCTCCCATCCTCCCTCCAACCACTCACCCCAACGACGAGGCTGAGCTGCTCGCGGGTGGGCAGGAACACACAGACGCTGCGGCTCTCTGGCTGCATCCTGCCTGCCAGCAGCACCCTGCTCATGGTGGGCAGCTCTGTGGGGACAGGGTCTCCTCTCTGGGCAGGCGTCAGGCTCAGTTCATCCCACGCACCTGTAGAGAAGGTGAGAGCATCAGTGCCATGCTCCAGCCAGCGCTGGGAGCAGCCCATGGAGTGCATTTGATGGGAGGTTATCCTCCTTGCTGTTTAAAATAGAACAATAAACAAGCCACGCACATTTTACAGTGCCATTGTCAATGTTTTCACCAGCATCACAGCACAAACTGGGAAAAAAACAACCTTTAAATAGCTTGTGAGTCCTAAAAGAGTGCCATAAAGTGATGAGGTCTCCCTGAAATAACCAGACTCAAGGTTTTGAGGCACATTAAGTGATAAGGGAGATGACACCATGGACTGCTCCCCAGAAATGCCCACAAGAGAGGGAGGAGTGCCTGTCTTTCAACCAAGTACCTCACTCTCACCCAAAGCAGATATGTCAATGAGCCACCCAGCAGGCATGTGTCAGCGCACAAGACTTCATCTGAGCTGCTTTCTCCCTGACCTCACCCCTAGTCCTTAGGAAACCACTCCCACAAATCCTCTATACCTCAAGGTAGAAAAGCATCAACTCACAAGGCTGAGTTGCTGTATCATACTTTTTGTGAGGTGAGCACTGCCAGCATCCTTCCTAAGATTGATCCCAAGCTACACAGGCCTCTTAGGAGCTTAAGTTATGATAACAACAGAAATAAGAGACAGAAACTCTGCTCGCACCCAGAAGCACAGTAGACAACATCATCTTCATGTTATAGCTAGGCTACACACAGTTCCCACAGCAACTTGTGACATTTTACAGCCCTCTCTGCTCTGATGCTCTCCAGAGCAAGGAAGGCTCCTCCAGGCCCTGAGGAATCCATTGCTCATTGAGGGCAAATCAGGGATGAACACCAGCAGACACCTGAACCAGCAAGATACCAACCAGTTATGGGGTCCACATCAACCCTGTGCAAGATGTAATGCAAATCAAACCCTGGCTGCCTCAAAGTCACCCTGGCATGACTCCCTTCCACCAGCAACACCAGGTGCTGCTGGCTGATGCCTGCCTGCAAAGCCCCCAAAATTGGATTTACCCCTCTCCCTTCAGTTCTGCACTCAAGCATTTTATTTTTTTTCTTCATCAAATGCAAGAAAGAGATCTATAAGTGTCCTTTTGCAAGTACAAAAGCTGTTCTGTGCACCTCCTTCCCTGAGCTGGAATATATAATGCTTCTTAATAAAGCATTTTGATACAATTTCTTTATTTAGAGCACCTCTTATGAGGCAAGTGCATAAAAATTGCATTTACTATAGTAATGAAGAGGTTAATAAAGGCTGCTATTATTACTTTTTTTCAAAAACAATTTAAACAGGAATGAGGAGTTTTAAAAAGGATATTACTCTAAATTATTAGCAAGCTGGAAAAACATTTGATTCCCTGAGAAAGATAAGAGGTTCTATTAATTAAGAGAAAAACTCTGATTTATCCTTTCTTATTGATATAATTATACCGATGAGCCCTCTTGAGCTCCAGGCTACACACTACTAACAGTTGTATATAAATTACAGATGTCTACTGAATGACTCAGGGGCAACAGATCACCATCATTATTGCCAGCTGATGTCATATGCACTATAAACTTTATCAACAGCATAAAGGCCTCAGAGTACGAGCTCAAGCTTTCCAGTGCAAGGAGGCTTGTCAAACTGTTGCACTGGCCTGTACATATTCCCACTCACACAAGGAGATCATGACCTGCAAAGATATTAATTTGGCTTCTAACAGAACTGAAAATAGAAGGAAGAAGTGACCATTAAAAACACAGCCACAGAAAACTGTGTGCACGACCGGAGAAGAAGAATCCCACTTCCCCATAGCCTCTATAAAACAAAGCTTCTGGAAAGCTTTTTCTCTGGTCTCACACCTGCTTTGTCTGTTTGGATTTTTATGAGAAAAAGTGTGGACCCTGGGAGCAAGGAAATGAGAAAGGAAGGGGAGAAAGTGTTGTCCTCCCTATGTTTTTAAACCAATGATCTTGTGGACCCAGCCACAGCAGGCAAGAGGTTAAAGAGGCAACATCCTTAATCTGAAGGAGGAGGTCAAACACAAGCCCAGCTCAGCCTTCTCCAGAGGTATGTTAGGATGTGATAAACCATAGTGAACCATTAACTTGCTAGCATTACATGTTTACACCTTTAAAAAGAAAAAAGTTGCGTGCCAGGAGTAGCTGCCCAATGAAAACAAGTGGCCAGAAGGAATGCTCTTACTTAAACATACACAATTTCAGACTGCCCATATGCCATTCTTTTGTTTACCACAGATTCCAACCTCTTAACCTCAATTAAACCCTGAAAGCTTCAGCAAATGCACTGCAGATGAATTAATAAAAGCTGAAGTCAATCACTGGCCTCTGAGACACCCTACAAGGTGTTTGGGTTTGTTTATGTTTTTTTTGTTTGGTTGGTTTTGGTTGCTTTTTAATTATTATTTCATTTATTTAGAAATAATATCACAGCATGTTTTAGCTCCTGTAGAAGTGCATTTCAAGATGTAATTGCTTGGTCAAAGGCCCAGAAGTCTATCAATGAAACAGTCAAAGGCACTATTTATTTGTATTCTTCTGGTACCCATCAGGAAGCTTATTAGTGCCAAGAGAGGTGTCACAGCTTATTTAACACTGTTTACCTTACCTGAACACACATACAGCGGAGCTTTGGAAAACCTGTCATTAATTTCAAGACTCTTCCAATTAAACAGTTCTTACATGGCTGCAAAAACTCATTAAGCCCCCCAGTCATTCCCTCTTCTCTCTACAGCCCTTTGAGCTGCCTTCCAGCACTGGTCCAGAACCTCAGCACTTCCTGGGTCCAAGGAGGAATGGCTGAGGTTTGCCACAGCAAGAGGGATAAGAGTGATAGAGACAAGGAGGATGAGTAAGGAGACTGCTTTGGATTTCAATGGAACAGCTGACTAAACCACCTCACACAGCCCATATACACAATGGCACAAGGATGACCTGCCACCACTGAATTTGGGGACCCAGTGCAGCCACAGCCTGTCTGGAAGCAGATCCCATCCAAACAGCACATGGGCTCACACAGCCTTATAAGCACTGCTGTATTTTACACAACAGTTCATGGGACCACAGTGAACTGGGTCCCGATCCTGATTTCAGCCTCTAGGTACTATCACAACTACATCTTAAGGGGACAAAGCAGTCACCTACCAACTCATAGCAGAAAATCAGAATGAAGTCATCTTCTATTGAGAGAAAAGCACAGGTAATTCCATGCTTCTCGGGAACACCTGGAAACATGCTTTGTAAGGTTTATTACAGTAAAAACAACTTGGGAAAGCTGGTTTTGCTACAGCTGACAGAAAGTGAGCATTGAGCATCCTTCCCAATTAAACCCTAACAGAGTGACCCTATGAAGTCCCATGAAAAACTGTCCAGAAACATTAAGACTCTTCTGAACATTTCCCAGACATTATCCAGAGATGTCTTCGGCTTCTAAGACAACCAGACTCTTAGACTGCAGTTTCACAATCAGCTTAATCAGCTTTAATCAAGGCAGTCCTGCAGCAAGACAGACACACAACTGCCTGGAAACAAATCTGTCTTTGGCAACAACCCACACTCAGGCTGCCTCATAGTCATGATGAAACACAGCCTTAAAACTGAGAACTCCCCTCACCTTCCTGGTATTTCGTCTCTTCAGAGGCATAATGTATGGCACCTGCAGAACAGTAATAAAGAGCTCAAGCGAATGAAAGATGTAATGATGGCATGCATTAACCATTCCCAGCAACATTAACTCCCCACCTACCTCCTTTGACTATCACCTGAGATGATGAAAACTTCTCCAGAAAGATGCATCAATCAGGAGGGAGTTCTGCTTGTCAGGCCAGAAAAGAAGACTGAAGCTAAACAGCTTTGTGTCACAGGTGAAGATGATATGAAAAGTGCCACCTACAACCAACAGCCAGGACAACTAGGCTTCCCTGCAGCAAATTCCCAGAAGCACATTGACTTTTCAAATGTATCTGCCTCAGCATCATTTCAGGGCTAGCATGACACATCCAAGGCCACGGATGCCATAAGGAGGTAATGTGCTGAATTTTGTGTGCAGACACTGCTTTTAGGGTGGACTGCACACCTGCCTTCAAACACTGAGCACTACTTAGTAGGAAGTCCCTATTCAAAGCCATTCATTGAGGAATACTGAGATACCTCCCAGTTACTTGCGTGCTCTGAACGACTGGATCCCAAACCAATGTAGCTTGGTTACAGGACAGACACAACACTGGCAGCAAAGACAAATATCTTTCAGTCCACAGTATGGGAGTGCAACTCCAGTAGGCCTTCTGCATCTGCAAGCAGCACTGGTTAGATCTGAGTGCAGTCCTCTCGCAGGAATGGGATGTATGCCTGACTCCCACATTTCCTTTAGGATTTTCAAAAGGTACCATGCAAGATGTTTCCACATACTACAGCACTGTGGAACCCTAGAAGGCTTAACCATCACCCTGTACCTTTTGAGACATATGGAGAAATCGCTGAGCATTGGTCTCAGATAGCAACCAGCATCCTTTTTCCTTTCTTCTTGTACAAGCAGCACACCCTGGTGACACCGAGCTTTAACAATAAAGAGGAAAATGCTCTCTCAGTCTTCACTGCAGGATTAGACACAGCTCTTAGCGAGGCATCACCACCCACACCTTTGTGCTGTGAAGTTTTCCTGCCTCATGTCAAACAGCATAAGTGACTACTAGAACACGAAACACGCTCTTGAGTTTGTAACTCTTCCACTCTGCACCCCTACAACGTGGCCAGTGTGCTCAGGAAGAAGGGATCTCCCAAAATTCCCAGGGACATCCATTCCTAACCTGGGACTGTGCCGCTGTGCTACTTAGTCTGTAGGCTGCACCAGCCCTTAAGCTCAAAGACAGGGGACAACTCCTCTACCCAGGGTTGGCTGTGTTGTCTGGTAGTCATGTAAAAGTGACTCTCACTTCTGGGCACACATCAGACCTTACTGCTGCTAACTAGTCTTCGAAGAGAGGAAGAAGTCTTAGCTGCACACAGAGCACCAAAGGACATGACATCCTACAGCACATGGAAGCACAGCAGCAGGGCAGTGGTGGCAGGACTATGCTG